CGTGGCTCCGCGGAACCGCCGCTCACCGGGACAGCGGAGCTCAGACAGCGGAGCTCAGATAGCGGGACTGAGGAGCTCGGACACCGGAGCTCAGATAGCGGGAGAGAAGAGCTCAGTCACGGGCCAGCGGAGATCAAAGAGCGGAGCTCACTGGGACATTTCAGTCACCGGAACACCAGTGCAGCTCAGTCACAGGGACAGCAGAGCTCAGCCACCGGGACACCGGAGCTCAGCGTGTACCCGCACAGAGGAACAGCAGCAAAGGCGGCTGTGTTCCCGTTCCTGCTGTATTTCCATGAGTTCCCTCAGCCTGGATTCCGTACCAAATCCCAGGGTCTGCAGCAGCTTCCCTGGGCCACTGACAATTAGCAGTGTCTGGTGAATCCTGAGCCTTCCTAAAGGTTCACATTACCAAAGTCTGGTTTCTGGAGGTAGTTGCAACTTATAGAAAAAGTAGGGCCGCTGTTTTTGAAGTGTTGGTAGTCTTTAGGCAGTTCCCAAAACCACTCAGGGGTCAGACATCAGACACTGTATTTGTGGTCCCAGAGAAAAAACTCCCCTTTATGAAATGAGAATTGCCTTACAGTTGTTCATCAACAGCAAGTATTTCATTCTGAGCAAGCATTTTTTCCTGACAGACACGCAGGTATCCAACAGGCCAGTATTTCTGAGGAATTACTTTACATCAATGAAGACTGAAGAACAAACCATACAAACCTGTATCTGAATTCTGGAACCAGTACAGGCTACAACAAGCCAAGGCTTCAGCAGGACACACTTGTCTAAAGCTTCTTTTTCACCGTTTACTCATTTATAGAACATGTTTTATAATCAATTAAAATATCTAAAAGCAACAAAAAAAATCTTATCGACATAGCCCACACTACACTGAAATTGGGACAAGAGAAATTCAGGAGCCAAGAGTGGCTCAGAATGACCACCATCTCAGGGAAGGGAGTTCATTCATCTGAGTCCAGGTCACTGTCTCCTGCAATGGAGTGAAAGTCCTCACTGTCCTCCTCATCCTCAGACAGATGGACCTGACTTAACACGCTTGGCCCCGAGC